GGGGGAGCGGGCGGGGGCCGCCGCGCCCCTCTCCGCCCCGGGGGCAGGACCGGCCCGCGGCCCGAGCGCACACGCTCCGCGCGGCAAACTTCAGAGGCGGCGCAGGGGCTGGCGGAGCGCGGAGCTGGGCGCGGGCCCTGACGGACAGCGCCCCGTCCCCCGCCTCCCCATGGCCGGCAGGCCCGGCCCTCCGCCGGCTCGTCCCGGGCCGGGCGCCCTTGCGCCTCGGTGCCCGCCGCTGCTCTGGAGCGAGCCCTGACGGGCTGCGAGCGCCTCGCTATCCGGAACGCGCGCCCTCGCAGTCGGGAGGGGAAAGTGTTAGGGATGTTCCCCGGGCGGAACGGCGATCTTCATTCAGCGGATTCATAGTGACGGGCTAAAAAGAGTTAAAGCACGGCTGAGAAAGCTCAGGCACCTGAGACCCAGCCATAGCCGGAGGGGAGGGCAGGAGAGCCTTCGCGGAGGAGGAGGGGGCTGAGGAGATGTCTGCCATTAGGCATGTTTATCCTGACAAGTGGGAGATTCGTAAGGTGCTGCTTCGCTTTCTGGGTTTGTAGGCTGGGAGGCTGGTGGGTGTCATGAGGGGAAAAGCTGAGAACTGGCTGCTCCATTTAACTTCATTTTTTTTTTCTCTCTCTCTTCCTTTTATAATACTTCAGGCAAATATCAAAGGCCACGGTAAGCTCAGGAAGTTCAGACTGGGGTAGATGTTCAGCCTCCTGTTTAAAGACTGCTGATAACGGTTCTAGAAATAGCATCATCTTCTAGTAGAAGCTTTTTTTCGTCTTAAAGGAAAAGGTATATCATCGAAATGAGCTGCATTTTGGGAAAGGAGAGGGTATTAATGAGAAAAGTTGTTTACTGATATAACTTGCCTCCTAGTGCTTTGGCAACATTGCTTACGTCTGAAAGGCATTCCCCCCTCCACACCCCCGCCCCCCGTTTTAAATAGAAAAATGATATCTGTAAAACGTGATTGTATAAGCCAGGCATAATTCCACCAGTAATCAGGTGACTCGCTCAGGCTGGCTTGTCATTGTTAAGAATTAATAATAGATAATAAAATAGTGTGTAGCTGTTACAGTTGTTACCATTGTAATCATATTCTTGTGGGCCAGAGATTTTGGTAACATCAGTATACGTTTTCACATCTACCCATGTGAAACTCTCTGCTAGTGTCAATAAATGCCACACAGATACTCATCTTGGTGCTGGAAAAACCAGTGTCATTTGTTTGCTTCTCCAAACATGCAATTGGTGAGAGGTACTGTCAGTCAGAGCTCTTCCTCTGAAACTAAGCATCGGGCTTCAGCAGTCCTGCTGCTTAACCTACTGCAGTGAAGAAGGGGCAAATTTTAAAGAACTTCATAGACCTAGAGGCACCAGAATATCTTTTAGGGAAAAACAGGTTCAAGAGGGCTGTCAGATTATTCATATGCATGTAAACTCTCAAAGCTATCAGAGATATCTGTAAAGTACAAAGCCCAGTGATCGTGTGTGACCAGATTTTGAATTACTGTATACAATTTGCCTATAATATTTATATTATTTTACATATTGTTTGGCTATATTTTGGTAGTTTGGCACTGACCAAGATGGCTGTGCTGTTCTGTAGCTTGACCTCTCTCCAGGACAGACAAATATATCAACTGCAAAGTGATATTAGTGCCAGAGTGTGGTTTTTATCCTGTGGGACCACAAGGCCATTGCTAGCTTGGGATTCGGGCTTGCTGCAGAGTGAGCTCTGGACAGCCTGGTGATCAAGCAGTAATTTCTTTGTCCTTCTCCTTTAACAAAAATCTTGCTTCATTTTTTTTGAGTAGCAGCAATTTGAAGGTGCTGAGATGTTTGCAATACAGGTGCTTGGGGATGGAAATTTTTCAGTCTGGTGGAGGAGGGAAACTGTTTGGGCATCACTGCTTGTAAACAAAGGCATCTATTCTCCAAAGCTCTGAGCTCTGAGTGCACTGTGTGAGCAAATGCCCACGTCTCTGGAGATAACAGCAGTAAATGTAATCAGCTGTGTCTCAAAGCAAGTGCAACATTTCCTTCCTGATCTTGCCTCTTAGAAGTGGCTTATATCTGCCATTTTGTTATCATTGATTGCATGTTTGTCTTCTTGCAGGCACTCCTGGTTTGCTCCTGTGTCAGCAGCAGATTTCCCCAGTTGAGGAGACCATGTTACATTTGAGATCCCTAATGAATGCTGCACTAATTAACTTTGGTCCTAGAAGGTCATTGAATGATGCAGTGGGATGCTCTTATTAACCTTATCCTGAGAGTTACAATCTGTACTGACACAGTAAGTCTATTTTTTTTTCTGTTTAGCTCAAGCTGCCCTCACACAACACAGTGCACTCAGAAAAAAATCCCCAAGCCTGCTACACACAGCGTCAGAATAAGTTTAACTGTTTGACCTACAACAGTTCTGTCATCATCAATTGACACATTCGTCTTTCTTTTCTTGAAATAAAGCTTTTCCCCAGTGTTCTGGCAGCAGCACAAGGATTGCTGGCAATGAAGTCACCTTCAGAGCTGAGGCATTTGTGAAACAAATGCATTTCTGGAAGCAAGTAAGGCAGCTTGCATCAGAGTTTTTGTTATGGCTATGCTGCAGCCAGAACTTACCAAGTATTTGTGTTGAGTATTTGTAATTGCTTGACTTATATTTGCCCATTTGGGCACAGCTCATGATGGGAGTACCTTTTTCTTTAAAAAAAAGGAGGAAGGGAGACCGGGTGTGTTTCAGGAAATCAAGAAAACACGTAGAACAACTAAGTCACTAATGGAATACAGCAAGCCAGACTTTTTTTCATGCCAGGAAATCAGTTTGTGAATCTGTAGTTAAACAGGAGGACAAAGTGACTGAAAACAAGGAAAACATTGCCGTGGTTAAAGGAGGCCATTTCACCAGAGGCAGTCACCTCTAGTCCAGGCTGGAGAAGGGAAATGCCATTGTAGGCTCAAGGATTGTTACACCTATCAAAAATGTTTCTGTTATTAGCTGTGCCAAACTTTCTGCCTCACTCTCCCTCTTATATGCAGTCACCCTTCTGTTCTTAATGGGTATACCTTCTTCTGCTGGTGCTGAAACATAGAAAATGCTTGGATGAACATACAAGAGAATGGAAACCTGAGTAACTACAGCTGGGGTTTTTTTTGAGATGATGTTTTCTGAGCAGTGTCTTTCTTGAGATGAGTTAGTTATTCTTCACAGAAGGTTTTAGGAATGCTTTTAAGGGGAGGTTAGTTAGAAAACAGGGGTATGTCTCCATCTGGGCTTTCCCTCATCATTGACTTTTAGAGGTCATATGGAAACAGGTTTGTGTTAACTAAAGGGAAGGTGGTATCATCACTTTGATGATGTTAACATGAAAAAAAAATAGCTGTCCTTGAGTATAATGGAGTCATTTGAAGATTTTGAGATCAGAATTACATACTCTGATGAAAGAAGGGACAGTAGTGTATTTTCCTTATGGTTTTTGTAAAATCTTGGGGCTTTTTATTTTAACTCACATGTCATTTATTGACATGTGCTCAGATTTTTAAAACATAATGCATAAACCCAGTGTTAAATGCTGGGATAGTACCGATCTTTGTACTTTCCTCTGCAGGAGGCCTGTGAGCTGTTCCCGTGTCAGAACGAGTAAAATGTCATTTTGGGGTTTTCTGAATGATGGTAGGAGCTTTCTCACAGCAGGTGCTGAAGGAAGAGCAAAGTGTCCCTCCTGAGCAGAAGAAAAGTGTGTCAAATGTCTGAGATGCCATCAAGTGTCACTAGAAGCTGTGCTGTACCAGAGGACTGGGAGTGTACATCTGACAGCCAGCCCTGGTGCAACTGGGACTCAGCTACATCCTACAGAGTGAGCTGAAGGGGTGTGGATAAAGAATGAGCAGGATTTTGTATGGTTCCTTTTTTTTTTTTTTTTTTTTTTTTGTTCAGTTGTTCTTTTCCCCGTCCTTCCATTGGACTAAACTTTACTGCCTAAGGAAAAGTTGCAAGCTCAAAGTAGGAGACACTGCACAGAAGACTGTAAACAGCTCAGCATGAACACAAGCTCTTTGGTATGATGGATCACTTTCATGACCTCTTTATAACAGATTACCATTTTTTTTCTTGATCTTTATACCATTCACATCGTTAATAGAGAGTACTCTGGGTGCTGTAGCATGTCACATGCAATTTTAATCTATCTTAAGAAAGCTTCCTTAAAACTTGAGAAAGAGGGAGAAAAACACATCTCTTCTGATTTGCCTTCTAATTTGACAATCTCTTCCTTGACAGCTTTTGGAAATTCTACTGGGAGAACAAAAAGAAGTGTACTGAATAATTCAGCCTTGAGGAGAGTGAATTGAGCTTGAGGAGAATTGTTGAATTCCCAAGTCTGTGGTTTGTGGTTTTTGTCATTGACTGCTCACATGGATTGAAAGTCTTGTCTCTGCAGTCAGTGGTTTTTATCTCCCCTTTGGATTCTGCAATTTTATCTGGCTTTCCATCCCTGATCACCAGTTCCCTGTTCTTGCAAATAAACACAAAAGAACCATTGAAGGACCTTTCTGCTTCCAGGGGGAGCCACAGAAAGCCACACTAATAAATCAGAATTTAACTTTGGACCTGAATGTTGTAGACAGTCCAGTGAAAGTTGATGGAGTCATCATGCTAAGTGTGAGGCACTCTTCCTACTGTCCTCCCCTCATGTGCTGGAATATCCAAATTCTCAGGGAAGGTGAAAGTTTGATATCAGAAAAGAACCTGCTGAAAATGGGGTGTCTTAACTTACTCTGAAATTTGCTATTTATATTAACATGCTGATGGGATCCAGACAATAACAATGGGAGCTGGTCCTGCATTTTATGCATTGGCAGCCAATAAGTAAAAAACCCAACTTAATATATTTGAGAATCTGTAAATGCATAAAATATAGAGCCCATTTTCTGCAAGGTGGAATGATGATGCAATACCTGTCACTGAAAGTAGTTTGCCCAGAAAAAATGTTATAACTGTGAGAGTCTAGCCAGTATTCAGGACTCTATATAAAACCTGAACCATGCTCATCGTTTCTTAATGACACTAAATACAGTAAATGTTATTACCTCTAAAGGATTTTTTTCCCTAGTTCAAAAAGCAGAATCATCTGCAGAAAAAAAGTATATATAGTCTGAAAATTGTTATCACACTGTCAGTAGAACTTTTATTTAATTAACTCTTATTGACAATCTCACTGAGTGGTATAGTCCATATAAGTAAATATCTGAGCTCAGTCATAATGTGGACTGCAGGAAATCTCTGCTAATGTATTTCCACTCAGCTGCTTGCAGCTACAAATTAACATTTCCTAACCAAAAGAAAGAAAGAAAAATGTTTGGTGGTTTTGTGATGAATTTGTAAGAGAATGCTAAGGAAATAACTTTCAGTGAGGAGGATACGGTCCCTTATCCTTGAACTTTAAGAGATAACAGAAACTTAACCTAAAAAAAAGGAAAAAAAAAACCCAAATCAAAGCCCAAAACAAATTCTTAATACCCAATTAAAAAACGCTCTGTTTTGATTCATGGTAAATTAATGCTTTGTAACTTACAGATATCACTAGTGTTTCTGTAGTCATGGACTTCTTTGAAAGACAGCTGAATCTAGAAAACTTTTTAAATTAACTGACAGGTCAGATGGGATCTGCTTGCAAGCGAAACAAATCCACAAGTCTCCTTGTGGAGGGATGAAAATTTTTATTCCTTTTAGCTCTATCTTTAGTTCTGATTAACATATAATCAAATAAACTGGAGTCCATCCAGAAGGCTGTTTTGGTTAAAAATAGTCAGTTAACTGCATCAAGAATATGCTTTCTGCAAGGTACTCTTGAGGTAGGAAATGTAGAAATGGTGTCTGTTCTGGGCTAAAAATCCCTTTTTCCACAAGCAGGAATTCAAATCAGAGTTGTAGCACATGCATGCACACAGTTTCCAGTGCCAGAACACTTCTGGTTTTAGTTAAAGGGAACAACCCATGTCCCTAAAGGCAGGTGCTTCCCAGTGGGAATCAGGGCTGCCCCTGGAGAGGTCCTGGAATGCTGGTGTGAGGATCCTGAGGCAGAATCCTTTCCTCAAATCTCTGGCTAAAGATGAAAAACTTACCTTGAAACTGTCTAGCTTTTGTAACAGCTGACTTGGGCACAGCCTTGTTGCTGGGCAAGGGAATGACAGGAACAAAAAATCCCTCTTCTCCAGGGGAAGGAGGAGAGGAAGGAATCCCAGGGGAACAATAACAAATCCCTGTTCTCCAGGTGAAGGAGGAGAGGAAGGAATCCCAGGGGAACAATAACAAATCCCTGTTCTCCAGGTGAAGGAGGAGAGGAAGAAATCCCAGTGGAACAAGGTGCTTTGGCCACACTGTAGCTCGGGGTATCTCAGTGCAATGTGTGCCAACCTCCTGTTCCTGTGCAGCCTCAGGACCCAGTGCTGGGCATCAGTCTGCACAGGACAGGGAGAGTTTTATGGGATTTTGGGCATCTCTCTTCCCAACAGACTAGCAAACATCTCCTCTACCCTATTGCATTTGAAACACTGGGGGAATAAAAGAGCTGTGCTGCTGTGTGAGAGACTTTTGAGGGAGAACCAGGTAAGCTGTTTCTTTGGCAGAGGGATAATTTAAGGTTGTGACTGAGTCCCTTGTGTAAATGAGTTTTTTCAACAAAATATAAACACTTCCATCAGCAGAATTGTGTTTTTTAGAAATGTCTGTCTTTGTGATGCTGAGGCAAAAGACACTGCAGTTTGCTTTATTTGTTGTAATAATTATAACCTATACCTTAGAATTTTTTTTCTTCTACCCTGTGATCATCTCCCTGAACAGCTAGGAGCTATTTTTCCTTCTCTGAGGATGTTCTGATGAAGCTGATGCTGTGTGGTAGGTCCTGGCCACCTGCTTTACTTGGTCATGTGAATGTTTTCCTGAGTCATACTCCCAAAATACATTGTTGCCTAAATCTAGGGAAAACTGACAATCCATAGCAGTTGAACTTTCATATTACAGCAGAATTTATGTTAAAAATAAATTGGCACAAATGATTACTTTCTGGAGTACATGAGTTGCTTGCTAAGAACCTAGGTAAGAACCTAGTTCTCTGTGTGAGAAGGGTTTCTCTTGCCATTAATTACTCCAGGAACTAAAGTCCACACCAAAACACTAGATAGGAGATTGAGATTAATGTTCCCTACTTTTCTGCTTAAATACTGAAGCTGTCACAGAAATGTTCTCCAGCCTATGTCAGCTGCTGTTAGCTTTCAGAGCTCATTCTTCTTTAGGCACTGAGATTTTCAGCTTTTTTCAACACAGGAATATCTCTGCAGCCAGAAGGGTTAAGGTTGCTTTAGCAAGGCAGAGGGCACAGACCATCTATAAGTTGTTCTGTGAGCCAGAGCCTGTGGGAAAACAGTATTTGCTGTGATGAAATGA